TGAAGTTTTAAGATTATTAATATCAAAATTACCTCATATGGATCGTTTATCCTGCCAATACATTAAGAAAGATGGTTCGATTTGTGGGAAAGGGTGCTGGCGTGCTTCAGGATGTGCTATACATTATAAAACCTGTTCTAAAACAATATGCCCTGTCTGTGATGAGAAAACCTATTCCAATACAGAAATCTGTAACACACATGATGGAATTTATAAGAATGCCTATCGTGAGGGTAAAAAAAATATTTCCGATAATTTACTATGTGATCCCTCTAGAACCCGTTCATGGTCAGTGAAATCAGATGAGCGAAAATAATATAACCTATAACCTAGTCAAAAAGGGTATTTCATCAATTTGAAATCTGCAGGTAGATATGATATGCGAAAAAAAATATATAGTCATGGAATAGGGGTTCCATAGCTATAAACAAATTTTCATATATCGTAATTATGTCTTAGTAAAGTGTTCGCATTAGATCTAATATATGTTCTAGTCCTAAAACATTCATCTTAGTGAATGCATCATATAAAGCGCCTGGTCTATACTTCGAAGGGGCTAAATTCGGGTGATAGAGGAGTTTTATAAGCATGTCATTTCTCCAAGCTTTTGTCTCTTTACGCTCCCAAGTTATCCCTATTAATGTAGACAAGCTAACACTGGAATAATTCATTTGGATTAAATTCTGAAGTGAGGACTATCTATTTTTTTCCAGGGTAAATAAACACATACCACCCTCAATAGCAGATTCTACACTAATAGGAAATCTTTTACGAATATCTAATCTACTAGCTAGGATAGATAAAGGCGGAATTAGGGCTGGGTAGTGGAAATCAAATAAGGGATCTAATTCGAATTCATCAGCATACATAGTTCCAATATCTTCTAAATAATCTGAAAGTCTATCAGCGTATCTGTAGCCTTCATGAATTAACTTTTGGAATAACTTTCCATTTGGATTGATCCATCGGCCAGTTAGTATATTAAGTATTGTTCTTTGCATTATGTTTATAGCAAAAGTGAGAAATGATGTTTATGTCTAATTTTACTACCGAATAATTTAAATACACATTTATTATAAAATTAATTCGCAATAAAATTGAAAGGTTTCTATATCCTAAAATACTTACATAGATCGTGTTACTTACCCGTATATCAAGAGAGATAGTACTATTTGCGGAAGAGTCTGCACTCGCACTACTGGCTGTACAAAACATTACACATTGTATGAAAAAATATGGAAAGAAAACCCTGTCTTGTTAGTAGTTGTGATAAGCTTACAGATTCTACTACGGGATGTTGTCCTAACCATTCAGGTAGATTTCATTCACTAAATTATCGGATGAGGCAGAAGTATGGGGCTGAGGTCCTTTAACCTAAAGCTCTAATTTCTGAATCAATGATAAGGTTAGGATTCTTCAACCCAAAATTCCTGAAACTTCAATTTTCGAGCTAAGTGATGTAGTTAGGGGGCCCTTCAACCCAGAATCTATGAAGATCTGGTTTCTAAGTCAGATGATGAGGATATAGGACTTGGTTTTTTTGATGATTAGTGGTTAGCTCGAAATTCAGAACACTAGGAATCCCCTCTAAATTGTCTGCTGAGGAGTAAGCAAAAAAAATATTATTTCATTTATATCATCAAGTCGAATAGCACTATTTTTGATCGTATGTAATTAGGTATTCTTCTTCAGAATCTTTATATAAAATAATGGAAGAAGAATACCCTAACAGATAGTATAAATCAAGGGTAGCCTTCTTCAGTATCTTTATATAAAATTATAGAAGAAGGCTACCCCTATCTGAAGAATAATTAACATATATCAAATAAATCTTGAGTTTCTTCTGTAATTTGTGCACTGTTTACTAAACTGGGGTCAAGAGATGATTTGCTATTTTTCTCTAATAATAATTCATCGGAAGTGAGTTTACTATAGGCATATCGGGTATCTTTTCAATTATCCCAATACACCTCTTCCCCTGTTTGATACGAAGGTAATTTGGGAGAATTCTCACTATCAAAAGAACCAACCAAGTGATAATGTGCGTGTTTATTATTGATGGCTTTGAATTTCAACCCATATGTTGCATATAGTGCTGAATTTAGTAATCCAAGTTTCGCTTGGATTGTTTTTAATCCTGATTTTTTAGCACTGCGCGATGCATCTGTATTATCAAATACTCTAGCCATTTTAGGCACTAAACCCTGAAAATATGATATGGATTCAGAAGAATCTATACGCACTTTAACATCATCAGCTTTATATCGTATTCGATCGTCAATATCTTTAGCAGGTGTACAGATCCTTAGTAATTCTAAGCAAATTCGATGTCTCTCAGCTCGGGTAGCTATGATAAGTTTATCTTCTCTATAATCTTTGCGAATGATAGCCTCAACAGCTGTTTCATTGTTAATGCCAGCATCGTAACTGTCTATAAGCTCTGAACCATTTCATATGATTATAATTCCCATACTTTGATATGAATTCTTCAGTTAATGATTCAGGCGGGATCTCATAACATTCTACAATATGATGCTGGTCTAAAGATCGCATTTCCTCTAAAGTCTTCTTCGGCTTATTTTCCAAAACCTCAGCTATCTCATGATCAAGAATACAGGCATTTGATATATCTGAAATTTCTTCTGCTTTAATGATAGATGAACTCACCTTTATTGTCTGGGATAATAATGTCATATTATCTTTAGGTTTAGGAATAAGTTCTATGATAGAAATTACCATACCTGCATTTCGGAGAAAATCAACCATTCTCCAGCTAAATAAATGATAAGATCGAAATTTTTCTAACATATATGCCACCCATAATCGAATAGTTGGTACATCCTTATTCTGAATAATAGAGTTGATATCTGGAAATATTCCTCTATTCTGAAGTTCTTGGGGGAGACATTCACGTTTAGCATTCAATAACCATTGAAATAATCCTTCTTCTGTAATTGGAATATTAGACGATCTTTGTTCGATATGACATATATAAGCTTTAATGCATCGCATGCGAAATAACATCTGATTTGTCCCTGCATTGGTTTCTATATAGCTATTAAAGAGACAGAATGCTCGCTCAAACTTAGGATTGGTACATGATACTCCTATTTTTAGAGTGCTAGTATAGGCAACTAGGTCTACGTCTTTCCATGCTGCTTCTACATTGCTAAAATCTTGAGCCTTTTCCACCGGATCAGATTTGCCATGATATTCCTTGATTCGCAATTCTGGAAAACTGGTCTTAAGGGTGCGAACAATTCCTTGTATATCTTTTCTGAGATGGCAAATAAGTAAAGCACTTTTCCAAGACTCAAAAGGTAGTGAAGACATTTTCTTGGCCCAATCCCAGAGTTCAGTTAACACAGTTTCTTTATTAGGAGCTAGGTGGAATGTTTTACCTTTCTGAGGTTGGTAAGTGTTATAAATAATTGAAAATGGTTTATCCTTGCGAAGAGCTTTAATCCATTCGATATTAAGATTGGTAAGATCATTATCCATAACGATAATGCGTCTCGCTTCTTGAATTAGTTTATACAATTTCTCTATTGATTGTCCCGCTAAACGACTTTGTGCCTGAGCATTTATAGATACTATTTCATCAAGCCATAAATCATATTGGATTGGAGGACATTTACATTTTTTATTACATTTACAATTATTGGTAATACGATGTAAGCTTTCTATCTGGCATACTACCCTCTTATGATCGGGAAGATTTATATTACCATCAATATCACAATATGACTTAAGATTAAGTCTTGTAGTAACGGCATTCGAATAAGAATGGCGCGTAGATAATGCTAGCAAATTCACAATGTCAGATATAGTAAGATGTTCGAGAATGTATGTTTTTCCAGTTTCCCAAGGCAACCCTACATAAATATCACCTTCATTGGGTAATGGTCTTACATATCTCTCCTTATATATTTCTGTTGCTGAAAGGGGCTCATTATACTTGACCCAAGATGGGAAATTTAAGAAAGCTTTAGGGAAACCTGGAACCTTGACCTTGTGAGATGATTGCGGAAAATTTTTATTTTCTCGTCGAATTTTTTCTGCAATAGATGGATCACATTCAAAAACTTCCCCAGGTTCATCACTATTTTGCCGAAAACATTTCACAATGAATGTACCACTAGTAGATATATGACCGAACCACCTCTGATCCTTGTCATGTATGCGTTTGCAGAGTGGACATTCTAGTGGAGCTTTCCGGTTAAAATATACGAAGTTTCGCGAATCATTTTCTTCGATACTCCAATCCCTAAGATAGTTAGAATACTTTTGCAGAACTAAGTCTGCGCATTTTTGTAATACATCCTGACCCACAATTATTCTTAATGAATTGTTATTTTTTTCTATACTAAGTATACGAGGTCTTACTTCGAGGCCTAAGTTAGTAGGTGGTTGGACTCTAACGTGATCAAGTTTATTCCACCCATTATCTAGTGAAAACTGAAGGATACGCTTCACACGTCCTTTTTTTGCTGAACCGATAAGGCGAAGGT